TTGTCTTCTTGTAGAGCAGAAACAGACACCATTCTATTTATTAAAATGAGAATATAGTGTCCACTTGAAATAGAGTTGCATATTCAATGTTAAAGATAACCAAATGATCCAAAGATTTAAAAGGTATAACTACTGTGAAGATGGTGATACCTCCAGGTGTATATATCAAAAACACAGATAATGTCAGGATATCTTCAAAGAAAGGCAAATTTTACTTCCAGCCAGTAAATGCAGTGTTTCTTGGCTATGGTGGCCTCGAGTATCCTGGAATTCCCTTTCTTCCTCTCACTTCAGAGAGCTTTCTTCTTCATTAAACTGAACAACTCAGTTTCTCCCTTGGTTTATCTGTAAAGCTGAACTTTATCACTTCCCTGAAGATATCTGTTTTCATACGGATGTATCCCAACTCACTTGCGTGTGATAAGCACATTTTGGAAGGACATGCGATACAGTTTATAACCAAGTGTAGGCTGCAATAAGTCGCTGGTGCCTTGCCAGAATGAGGAAATGCATCTCATGGATTCTGAGCACCCAACAACTTGGTATTTAGGGGCGGGGTAGCCAGGTCTCTATGGCAACACTGGAGTTTTCAGCCAGTGCTAGAATAAAGCATCCCACAGTAATGACAATGAATCTGAATGTTACTGGCCTGCAGTGGTTGAAGGAGGCTTCCTTGCCAAAGCATAATCTGAAAGGGCAGTGTAGGGTTGAGTTGAGAGGAGCACACACCTATGACTCTCCACACCCTTGTAGTAGATGTTGTGCCCTGCAGGACCTGCTGCCCGTGGACCTGCCCTGTGAGCATCACCCAGGCCAGGAGCAAGGGCACAGGGCTCCAGTGAAGCAGAGCACCCAAACACCCAGAGACACTCAGGAGGGGCTTGGAGTTGGGGCTTCCAAGCTAGACACTTCTATTCCCTTCCTGAGGGAGGCTGGGCTTGGCAAGCCCCCTCAACCACACCTGCTTTTCTCCTCTGTCCTCTCCCCACCTCAGACCTGTAGTCTACTTTTCCACACGTCCCGCTCCAGCAAAGTGAAAGCATTTGAATTGGGTGCTGCTGGGGAGAGCCTGTCCTCAGCTGCTGAGTTCAAAAGGACATTCAACATAAAGAGCCCTGGAGCCCGAAATGTGTGCACTTCAGGGAGGTACTTAGCTGGGGAGTAGGGAGGAGAGGAGGTTCAGTTTCCACCTGCCAGGGGCAAAGAAAGAGCCTTTCTTATCTGCTGGAAATCTCTACTGTTCCCCTTAAACCATTTCTTTTAATAGCAGCTTCACTGTGCTATAATTCACATACCATAAGATTCATCCCTTTAAGTGTATAATTGAGGGGATTTTTGCATATCCAGAGTTAAACAACCATCACTGTTAATTTCAGGACATGTTGTCAACCCAGAAAGATACCTGACTCTATCTTTTGTCACTTCTCATTATTCCCACCTCCTGGAAATAACTTTACTATTTCTACTTCTATGAATTTGCCTATTCTGAACATATGAAATGTTAGAATAGAATAGAATCCTACAGTATGTGTTCTTTTGTGACTGGCTTCTTTCACTTAGCATTATGTTTTCAAGGATCATCCATGTTGTATCATGTATCAGTACTTCACTACTTTTTATTACTGAATTATATTCTATTGTGTGGATATACATTTTATTTATACATTAATCACTTGATGGGCATTTGGATTGTTTCTACTTTTTGGCTATTATGAATAATAAATGCTGCTATGAACACTGGGGTACAAGTTTTTGTATGAACAGTAGTTCTACGGTAAACATTTTGAGGAGCTACCAAACTGTTTTTCAAAGTGGCTGCATCATTTTACAATCCTACCAGCAATGTACTTGAGGGACCCAGTTTCTCCACATCCTCAACAGCATTTGTACTTAAAACAAAAATTTTTTTCAGCTTTACTGAAGTTTAATGAACAAATAGGAATGGTACATATTTAAGGTATACAATTTGATGTTTTGATATGTATATACATTGTGATTGCCACAATCACGTTAATTAACACACCCATTACCTCGTGTAGTTATGATTTGCTTGCCTTCTTTCTTTTTTTGTACTGATAAAAACTTAAGATCTACGCTCTTAGCAAATTTCAAGTATACAATACAGTACTGTTAACTGTAGTCAGCATGCTGCACATTTGATATCCAGAACTCATTCATCTTGCATAACTGAAACTTTGTAACCTTTAAACAACATCTCCCCATTTCTTCCTACCCCTGGCAACCACCATTTTACTCTCTGCTTTGAGTTCAACTTGTATAAATTCCACTTGGTAATGGTATATAACCTTTTTTATATGTTGCTGGATTTGGTTTGCTAATATTTTGTTGAGGATTTTTGTGTCATTGTTCATAAGGGATACTGGTCTAGAGTTTTCTTGTGGTGATGTCTGGTTTTGGTGTCAAGGTAATACTGTACTCATAGATCAAGTTATGAAGTGTTCCCTCTATTTTTAGAATACTACGTGAAGAACTGGTGTTAATTCTACTGTAAACAGCTGGTTCACCAATGAAGCCATCTGGGCCTGGGCTTTTCTTTGTCTAGGTTCTTTATTACTAATTCCATCTCTTTTCTTGTTATAGGTCTTATTCAAATTCTCTCTTTCTACTTGAGTCAGTTTTGGTAGTTTGTGACTTTCTAAGTACTTGTCCATTTCGTTTAGGGTAAACAATCTGTTGCATACAATTATTCATAATATTTCCTTATTTGTGTAAGATTAGTAGTATTTTCAGCACTTTGAGTCCTTAATTTTATAATTTTAGTCTTCTCTCGTTTTTTTCTGGGTTAATCTAGCTAAAGGTTTGTCAGTTTTCATTTTTTATAAAGAAACAACTTTTGGGGTGGGCACAGTGACTCACACCTGTAATCCTAGCACTTTGGGAAGCCAAGGCAGGTGGATCACCTGAGTTCAGGGTTAGAGACCAGCCTGACCAATATGGTGAAACCCCATTTCTACTAAAAACATGAAAAATTAGCCAGGCGTGGTGGCATATGCCTGTAGTCCCAGCTACTTGGGATGCTGAGGCAGAAGAATTGCTTGAACCTGGGAGGCAGAGGCTGTAGTGAGCCGAGATCATGCCACCACAGCACTCCAGCCTAGGCTACAGAGCAAGACTCTGTCTCAAAAACAAACAAACAAAAGAAACAACTTTTGATTCTGTTGTCTATTTTTCTATTCTTTACTTCATTCATTTCTGCTATAATCTTTATTATTTCCTTGCTTCTTCCTTAGAGTTTAGTTTGCTGTACTTTTTTCTAATTTTTTAAGGCAGAAATACAGGTTGATTCACCATCATTCTTTTTCAATATAGATGTTTACAGTTATACATTTCCTTCTAAATACTACTTTTGCTGCAGCCCATAAGTTTTGGTATGTTATGTTTTTGTTTACCTCTAACCCAAAGTATTTGCCAATTTCCCTCATGATTTCTTCTTTCACCCATTGGTTATTTAGGAGTATTCTGTTTAATTTCCACTTTTTGTGAATTTTCCAAAAGTCCTTCTGTTATTTATTTCTAATTTCATGTCATTGTGCTCAGATAACAAATTTAGTATTATTTCAATGCTTTTAAAGGCTCTGATCCTTGTTTTATGACCTAGCATATCTTCTATTCTGGAGGATGTTGAGAACGTTTCATGTGCACTTGAAAAGGGTATATATATTCTGCTATTATGGGGTAGAGTGTGTCAAAGATGTCTTTTAGTTAGTCTATAGTGGTGTTCAAGTCTTATATTTCCTTGTTGATCTTCTGTCTAATTATTCCATCCACCATTGAAAGTGGGGTATTGAATTCTCCAACATTTTTTGATAATTATATTTTTAATAAATAGAGATAGGGTTTCGCCATGTTGCCCAGGCTGGCCCTGAACTCCTGGTCTCAAGCAATCCACTAACCTCAGCCTCCCAAAGTACTGGGATTACAGGCATGAGCCACCACATCTGGCCCCAAGTTTTATTGTTGAATTGTCTGTTTCCCTTCAATTCTGCCAATTTTTGCTTTGTATATTTTGGGGCTCCGTACAATGTCTATATATGTCTATGATTGTTGTGAATTCCAGATGAATTGACCCTTTATTCTTCCTTGTCTCTAATAATTTTTTCTTAAAGTTTATTTTGTCTGATATTACTACATTCACTTCTGTTCTGAGTTGATTACTGTTTGTATGGTATATCATCTTCCTTTTACTTTCAATCTATTTGTGCCTTTGAATCTAATTTGTCTCTTTTATACAGTATATAATTGGGTCCTGTTTTTTGTTTGTTTGTTTGTTTTGAGACAGGGTTTCACTCTGTCACCCAGGCTGGAGTGCTGTGGTACAATCATGGCTCACTGCAGCCTTGATCTCCTGGGCTCAGGTGATCCTCCCACCTCAGCCTCCCAAGTAGCTGGGACTACAGGTAAACTATCACCATGCCCAGCTAATTTTTGTATTTTTTGTAGCAACAGAATTTTGCCATGTTGCTCAAGCTGGTCTCAAACTCTTAGGCTCAAGCAATATGCCCACCTCGGCTTCCCAAAGTGCTAGGATTACAGGCATGAGCCACCATGCCTTGCTTGGTTCACGTATTTTTTCATTCTGGCTATCTCTGTCTTTTGGTTGCAGTGTTTAATCAATGTATGTTTAATGACTATTTAGCTATTTGTTTTCTACATGTCCTGTGTCATCTTTGTCCCTGTGTCCCATCATTACTGCCTTCCTATGTATTAAAAACATATTTTCTAGTGTATCATTTTAATTCCTTTGATGTTTCTTTTACTACATATATTTTTATTTATTTCCTTGGTGGTTACCCTGGGGATTATAATTAATTAACAACTTGTAACTACAGATCTTGCTTTGCTTGAAGTTTCTACTTAGAATTTCAATTGTCTGGTCAAATCTAGTTAAGAAAAAAAGGAGCTCTTCAATTCACAAATACTATTAGATACACAATAGGAGGTTCTTACAATAAGCAACTGCCTCTGATATGAACACTTACCTTATCTAACAACACATTCTGCCACAACCTAAAGATACTGAGGAAACTTCTATCCCTGGCACCAAAAGATGTGAAGAAAAACTGCAAAGAAAAATAATAGGACAATTTTAGTGTCATGGAAAATAAGAGGAAAGTATCTGTCATGAAGGTCTATGGGGACTTCCTTATGATTAAAACAAACTAGTAGGTCAACACTGCTTACTTTGTATACTATTTTTATTTAATATTTTATTATAATGAAAGAAATACAGGTAGTTGCTATATGAACAAGGTGTCTTTGCAAATTGTGCCTTTCAGTAAACAAAATTTTATCAGTATTTACTAGCAATGGGGACATGAAATCATGAAATAGGTAGCTATTTATCAGTTTAACTATTGAAATTAATCTAAATAAAATCATTAAAAATGAAAACTTCATTTTATTCTGAACTTTGCAAAGAGATATGAATTGGTTGTCATTTGAGCCAAGTATACACGAGGAATAAGAAAAAATACATGTGGATTTTAGAGATAGATTTAAGGATCTTAAGTTTTAATTATATCAGTTTTCATGGTCTTCTAAAAACTCCAGAAATACCTCTCTCTGCTAATTATAGATATAAACCACCCATGGTAACACTGCACTTTTATTTGAATGCCATAGAAGAAAAGTAGCATGTTTCAATCTATAATTCCACATTTTATTTAATTAAATTTTGCAAAGTAAAATTTAAAATAGGCTTTTATAAGAAAATGCAACAAGGCAGCACTAAATACAGTCTTCTCAGTGTTTTATCTCTTCCAGTTCCCTAGTCAGTGACCTTTCATGGCTGAGCAGTTACCCTTAGGAAGGAGAAAGCTCAGTTCTGTGCTGGATTAAGTTATTTTATTAAGTAAAATATCAAATATAATACTTTGGATGTTAATTCTTTTCATAGAAAGACTTTAGACAGCTATTTTCTAATTCATTAAACTGAAACTTTGCTATACGTTCTTCAGAAAGCAAAACTTTTTACAAAGAAGATATATCCAGGATCTTTTCCAAAGAGTTATATACATAATATGTGACCTAATCATCACGATTTGCTGTTCCCTATTCCCTTTTCTTAGGCCTAATTGTTTTGCCTAATTATGCTAATCTTACAATCCTGCATTCAGATACATAGATTTTTAAATTATCCTAGTCTATCTAATTTTCACTACTGCAGTATTCTTGCTAATTCCCACTTCTTCTACTAAATAGCTTAGTATTAAGTTTATCTACTCTCAGGCACAACCATCCCATTCCCAACTCCTTAAATCGCCCAGCTTTCTGGATAATCTACATAAATTACTACCTTTCTTTTATTCCTTGCTAGATATCCAACCTCAAAACATATTAATAAATCTTGATTCGGCTGGGTGGGGTGGCTTACACCTGTAATTCCAGCACTTTAGGAGGCCAAGGCAGGCAGATCACCTGAGGTCAGGAGTTAAGACCAACCTGACCATATGGTGAAACCCTGTCTTGACTAAAAATACAAAAATTAGCTGGGCATAGTGTCACGTGCCTGTAGTCGCAGATTTTTGGGAAGCTGAGGCTGGAGAATTGCTTGAACTTGGTGCAGTAAGCCAAGATTGCGCCACTGCATTCCAGTCTGGGTGACAGAGTGAGACTCCATCTCAAATAAATAAATTAAATAAATAAATAAGGCCGGGCTCAGTGGCTCACACCTGTCATCCCAGTACTTTGGGAGGCTGAGGTGGGCAGATCACAAGGTCAGGAGATGGAGATCATCCGGCTGACACAGTGAAACCCCATCTCTACTAAAAACACAAAAGAAATTAGCCAGGTGTGGTGGAAGGTGCCTGCAATCCCAGCTATTTGAGAGGCTGAGGCAGGAGAATCACTTGAACCCAGGAGGCAGATGTTGCAGTGAGCCGAGATCAGGTCACTGCACTCCAGCCTGAGAGACAGAGCGAGACTCTTGTCTCAAAAATAAATAAATAAAAAGAAAAATAAATAAATATCATAATATAAATCTTGATTCAATAATAGCCTTCTTATGAGTTTGAAAAGAGTTCTGGCTGATGATATTTCCATGCTGCTGGGGCACAGAACATATTCTAGAACCTAAAACCACCTAAAATTGCTATGATTAATCTTCCTTTCATTACAGAGTATATAAAAGGGGTGAATATTTAGTTGTACAAAATTTATTACCACGATGATGGAAAATGAAATCATTGAGTTAATGTAGTGAGGAAGTTAAGACCAGGGTCTCTGCAATTAAATGAACTGGGTTTACATTCTTGCTCTATCACCTATTGTTAGTTCTGCGAATTGGGTCACCTTTCTTTTCTTTAGTTTTCTCATCTGCTAAATGAGAATTATCATAGTGGATCTTTATAAGAAATAAGAAAATATACGCAAAGAACTTAAGGCAGTGTCCAGATAACAGTAACTGTTACTGTCATTAAAATTTAAATGCTTGATCCTGAAATTCTAATACATATGTGAGAAATGGTCACATGTAAGCTTAACAGGGCATGGTCAGGCTGTTCACTGCAACACTGTTTGTAATAACAAAATATTAGAAATAAACTAATGGTAAAGGAAATCATGGTATAGCCATTCTATGAAATACTATACAGCACTTTTGAAAAAAGAGGTGGGTCTATCTACAAGTGCTGACCTACAATTGCAGGAGATAATTCTTTTTTTGTTTTTGTTTTTTAAAAATGGAGCTGATGAACTGATTGAAAATAAGATTACATTTACTTTTTTTTAAAAAAGAGCAAAACTATACATTTATATATGCATGCCTGGTATGTAACTACAAAGGAAGGAAGTCTGAAAAGATATATACCAAACTGGTAACATTTGCCTCTAGAAAGAAAATGGAATTGGGATTATGGGTATGGAATGAAGATGTTAGTTTTGAACTTGTTTGATGATTTTGTTAAAAAAATGAAAAGGTATATTATATATTAATTGTAAAACTAAGAATATTTAAGTCTTTCTCTTTCCTTCCTGAACAGTTCAGCCCTACAGCTTTTGGTGGAAAAGAGAAAAGTAGGCATCCACACTAGGAGTGTGGGTGGGGACAGACGAGCTGCCGTAGCCTAAAGCCGAGTGTCAAAACCAGAAAAGAATGAAGAGGTCATCCCCAAGGAAAGGTTGCCCTGTGTGCAGTGTCAGAGCCCAAGTGAGTAGGCATCTCCACATATGGGGATGACGTGGAAAACTGTATTAGAACAAGAACAGGGTGAAAAAGGTATGGGGGAGTCAGAGTGTGAAGAGGGTGACCATGTAAAGGGGTAGTTTTGTATGTGGTGTCAAGTGTCAAAGACCAAACATGGTAAAGAGTGGCCACAAATGAGCATGCCCTACAACGACATGTCAGAACCAGAGCAGGTGAGGCGGTATAGTGTTATGGAGTCCATGAGGGTGGTCTTGTGCTGGGGTATCAAAGCCTAGGCAGGGTGGGAAGAGCAACCACACATAGTGACAAATTGGCACAAGCAGGGACCAGAGGGTGTCCCTGTAGAGGGAAATCTGGCAGAGGGTAAAGCAACTTGGCATGGAGTATCAGCCCAAGCAGGGTAAAGAGTTTTTCTGTTTGTTTGTTTTTGTTTTTGTTTCGTTTTGTTTTGTACTACACTCCAGCCTGGGTGGTGGAGTCTCACTCTGTCGCCCAGGCTGGAGTGCAGTGGCACATTCTTGGCTCACTGCAATCTCCGCCTCCCGGGTTCAAGTGATTCTTCTGCCTCAGCCTCTTGAGTAGCTGGGACTACAGCTGTGCGCCACCATGCCCAGCTAATTTTTGTATTTTTAGGAGAGAAGGGGTTTCACCATACTGGCCAGGCTGTTCTCAAACTCCTGACCTCGTGATCCGCTAGCCTCTACCTCCCAAAATGCTGAGATTATAGGTGTGAGCCACTGCATCCAATGGAGAGTTTTCACATGATGAAAGTGTCTAGGTTGTGGTGTGATGGGCAGCACCCTGATTCTAAGTGTCAGAAACCAAGGTGGGTAATGAGCATCCCTGTGGGAGGGGGTGGCAGTAGAGATGAAGATTGGTTACACAAAGGCTTAATGGTTAAATAAATAACTATATTAAGGATAATGGGAGCCTGGTTTCTCACAGCCAGGGAAGGGAGTTACAAATATGGAAAGGAAGAAAACAAAAATAAACTCTGTGGTGTTAGATGGGACTTGAAGGTCCTGATGTGAATTCATGGTTTTGGATGGATGGATGGATGGATGGATGGATGGATGGACAGATGGATAAATAGATGTATACGTGAGTGTATGTATGTATGCGTGTGTATATATATATATAATGCATATGTGTGTGTAATTATATACATTTAATGTATACCCTTATTATGCCACCTTAAAGGATTTGAAAATAGTGATATCCCTCCCCCAGCCCCATAGCAATGAACACACTGGCTTCTTTCAGTTTCCCCTAAAAGAAACCAGGATTCCCTTTCCCCCAGGGCTTGGGCAGGGAAAGCCTGAAATATCATGTGCCAAAAAAAATAGGAAAATGCTCAAACACTGAGAATACTGAAAAAGATTGAAGGGGCTCCCACTGGCCAAATTTGGGACAGTTTGACCACAAAATACATAATGATAGTAATGGCTTATAATTCATTGAATAAGATAAGAAATCACCAGTTCATACTGACATAAGCAAATGAGTGAATAAATTTAAAGTATGATAAGAATGGCATATCTACATGGTTTCAAAACACCATTCCCCAAAACACTTATTACCACAAAAGAAAATAGATTATAAAGTCAACAGACACCACCTTAATCAAATGTTCAAAGTAAATATCACCAGTAATGGTACAAATTAAAATAATGTGCCATCTGATAGGATCTAGTGGTGAGAACAGAGCATCATTTCTGTGTATTTTTTTCCAAAATTGCATAACCTAAATTTAATCACAAGGGAAGATCGGACAAATACAAATTGAGGGATATCCCACAAAATAACTGACCTGTAATCTTTAAAGTGTCAAGGACATAAAAGTCAAGAAAAGATTAAGGAACTCTTCCAGGAAATTAAAGAGCATGATTACTAAATGTCACGTGTAATTCTGAACTGAGTCTATTTGCTACAAAGAATATTATTGAAATAATTATGGAAACTGAATGGGGTCTAAGAATTGAACGATGGTCACAGATCAGGGATGATTATTCGATGTTAGTCGTTATATTGTGGCTATATAGAAGAATGTCTTTGTTGGAAGTACATGCCAGAATATCTAAGGTGATGAAGAATTAGGGTGAGAATTTATTCTCATTTAGTGCAGGGGCAAAAGCTCTTTGTACTGCATCTGGAAGTGTTCTGTAGGGATAAGACTGTTTAAAAATAAAAATAGCCAGGCTAAGTGGTGCACACCTGAAGTCCTAGCTACTTGGGAAGCTGAGGTTGCAGGATCACTTGAACCTAAATGCTCGAGGCCAGCTTGTACAACATAGCAAGACCCCATCTCTAAAAAAAGAGTGAGACAAATTTTAAAATGCATTTAAACGAATCTCCACAAGACTAAAAAATATAATTACAAAGATTTAATATCATTGTACTAATTCTCTCTCCCCACCTCCCCCAAAACTCTCCCTGTCTCTTTCTTACCCTCCCTAGCCCTCCTCTTTTATACTCTTTCCTCCTTCATCTCCTACTTTTTCTTTCTTCTTCCTTTTTCTTTCTCATCACTGCGCTTCTAATGTCTCACACACAGGGTCCTAACCAATTTTCCAAGTGGTTAAGAAATATTCTTGATATATCCCTACTAAGACGCCGCAGATATTATGGGTGAATAATAAAAATTATGTCAGTTAAAGATAATTGCCATAAAAAAATACAATGGTTAGTGTTTACGTGTATGCTATCCAAATCTCTGTTCACCAGAAGCATTTTTTATTAGTTGCTATTGTGCAGCTATTACAGACTGAAAAATAATCATGGAATTCTTATTTAGAAATATGGACATTTTGCCAATGTTATCTTACCTACCTCTTACAATGAAAAAATGAAAAATAAGGGTGAAAGTTCTCTGTAACCTATAAAGTACAAAAAATATCAGCAGTCATTTAATTAACTACAAATATAACTGCATACAGAATTCTAGTATTAAACATATGTCTATCAGATATTCCTAACTCCAGGAAGAACTACCTATATTCCCAACATGGATGATGAATATGAGGCAGATTTTCTTCACATTATGTAATATAATAAAGGTAGAAAAGTTTTTCACCTTTTCACTTTCTGTAATTATCTGGATAGCATTTGGGATGAGTCGAGCAGTTTTCTCCTTGGTCATGAAGGTTATATTCTTTAAAGCAATAGAAATCTAAACACACAAAAGATTTTTTAAATGTATTTTTCAGAAACATACACAATACAAGTATCACATCAATCTAATTCAGAATATTCAACTTTTCAGTTGAATATTCTTCAGGTTTTTCAACCTGAAGAAATTAATAAGTACATGCTTACATTCTCTGAGGAAAACAGGGTAAGCACTTTTCCCTGAAGTCTTCTCCCCCATCAACTCCTCTATCTAACATTAGGACAAAGTGTGGAAAGACACGTGGGTGTTCATGTTCCACATTAACACACAAACAAAAATCAGACAGTCTGTCACTTAAGACATGGTTTTGGCAGCCATTAAGATATATGTTCAAGCTCTTTTCAACTAAATATCTTTCTCTAACTATACTAATGGAGTCAGTGTATGAAATCAGAAAAATAGGCCAGGTGTGGTGGCTCATGCCTGTAATCCCAGCACTTAGGGAGGCTGAGGTGGGTGGATCATAAAGTCAAGAAATCAAGACCATCCTGGCCAATATGGTGAAACCCTGTCTCAAAAAAATAAATAAATAAAATAAATCAGAAAAATATACACTTATATATACAACACATTTGTATTTCTATGCACACTAGTATAGATGCAAAAATATGTATAAATTTACTTTGGAATCATCTAAAGTACACTGTAGAAGAACTGTATATATCTCTATGAAATTATTTGTATCAACAAATCAAATGCAAAATGTCTTACTGTAGTTTCCCATCTGAAGATGTTGCTATAGAAACATAGCCAGTTTTCTGAAAGGTATAGTCTTCCCTGAAGCAAAATGTCCCTCTGAAGAGCACAAGCATAATCTATATACACAAAAATAAGAGATAGTTTATTCACAAAAATCTGAGAAATTAGGAGATCTTATACTATTTCAACACAGGGAAAGTCATCACTTTTTGTTCATTAGTTCATTCATTCATTCATTCATTCATATACTTTGAACATCATATGTCAGACATTTTGCTGTGCACTAGGATGAGCAGAAATGGTTCTTGCCTTCATAAAACACAATGTACAGGGAAGGCAGAAAATAAATACAAAAATAAATATGATAATGACCCATGTGTAGAGAAAGCTATGAGAGCATATAATAAGAGCTATGCAGGTATAAGGGGGCAGGGCAGAGAGTGTATATCAGGAAGGATTCTCTTAAAGTAACACGGATCTTGAACATGAAAAGATCAATAAAGGGTCAGCAGAATCATGAGGGAACAGCACATGCAAAGCCCTTTTGGTAGAAAGAGACACAGCACATTTGAGGAACTATTAGATCTTTGAGCTGCAGAAGCTAGATCATGTAAAGTCTCACAAGTCATGGTATACTGTGGTCATCATGAGATGCCACTGATGACCTTTAAGTGAAAGGAATAGGAACAGATGTGTATAAAGATTACTTTATTCACACTCTGAGAATTAATTCTCTCAGTTGGAAGTCCAGAAAAAAGTTGACAGTGATTCAGACCAGAAGGTGACCATATTAAGAGACAGAGCAGAGGAAGATCCAAGATGGTGGTTTAGGAGCAGTTCAGGATTGCAGCTCTCAGTGAAAGTGCAGAGGGTGAGTGGATGCCACATTTCCAGATGGATCTTTATTGCCCACAGACCAGGAGATTCCCAGGCAGAGGAGCCCCATAGGTCACCAGCATGGCTGTTTTGGCCAGCGCAGCTGTTTTGCCAGCGCCTTGGGGCAGTGGTTCTCCATACAAAATACACTGGTCTGGTTGCCCTTTTAAGCTGGCGATTGGAGCTTTGGAAGGCATCTGATTAAACAGGGGACTGAAACAGGGAGCAAAGCCAGAAGATTCCTGGGCAAAATGCGCCATGAATCTCAGTGCCATTGTTTCAACTGGTGCAGTGGGTCGCCGCATGGGAAATCACACAGATCTCAGAGCCTTTTCAGCAGGCAACTGGAACACCTGGGATAGAGTCAACCATTCAACTTAAAAAAAAAAGGCTCTAAGGCAGGGAGCCAGGTGATCAGGCTCAGCGGGTCCCACCCCCAGAAAAAACAAACAAACAAACAAACAGCAATTGGGAACACTCTGGGTTAAGAGTTTCACGGCAAGCACAGCTGAACCCAGGACAGTCCAGCTCTGTGGGGGAGGGGTGTCTGCCATTACCGAGGCACTCCACCTCTACAGAGGTAGTCTGCCATTGCTGAGGCAGCCCAATGTTGCCGAGCCAACCTGCCATTACAGAGAGAGTCTGCCATTACAGAGTTGAGCCACCATTGCCGAGGCAGTTCTAACCACACCCATATAAACAGGACTGCAGGGGAGTTCACATGGCAGCAGGGCGGAGCCCACAGCCGCTCAGCAAAGCCTCTGCAGGCAGACAGTGACTAGGCTGCCTCCTTGCTGGGCAGGGCAGCCCTGAAAAAAAAGGCAGCAGCACAACAAAAACTCATAAATAAAGCCCTAACTCCCCAGGACAGAGCACCTGGCGGGGGGAAAAAGGGGGTTTATGAGTTCTGCTGCAGCAGACTTAAATGTACCTGCCCAGCAGCTCTGAATGAACAATGGAGCTCAGCACTCAGCACTTGAGCTCCTATAAAGGACAGACTGTCTCCTCAAGTAGCTCCCTGACCCCTGTATATCCAAAGAGTCACCTCACAAAGGACTGATAGACTTATATTTGGCAGGCATCATTCTGGGACAAAGATAGCAGAAGAAGAAACTGGTAGCAACCCTTACTGTTCTGCAGCTGCTGCAGGTGATCTCCAGGCAAGCAGGGCCTGGAGTGGACCTCAGCAGTCTTACACAGTAGAGGGGCCAGACTGTTAGAAGGAAAACCAAGAAAGAGAAATAACTTCATCATCAACAAACTGGACATCCACTCAAAGACCCAATCTGAAAATCAGCAACTACAAAGATGACAGGTGGATAAATCCACAAAGGTGGGAAGAAACCAGCGCAAAAAGGAGGAAAACACCCAAAACCAGAACACCTCTCCTCCTACAAGGGATCATAACTCCTCACCAGCAAGGGAACAAAGCTGGATGGAGAATGAGCATGATGAAATGACAGATCAGACTTCAGACGGTGGGTAATGAGAAACTTCTGTGAGCTAAAAGAACATGTTCTAACCCAATGCAAAGAAACTAGGAACATTGAAAAAAGATTTGATGAAATGCTAATGAGAATGGACAATGTAGAGAGGAATATAAGTGAACTGATGGAGCTGAAAAACACAACATGAGAACCTCACGAAGCATGCACAAGTTTCAACAGCCAAAATGACCAAGCAGAAGAAAGGATATCAGAAGTCAAAGATCAACTTAATGAAATAAAACGAGAAGGCAATATTAGAGAAAAAAGTGTAAAAAGGAATGAACAAAGTCTCCAAGAAATATTGGACTATGTGAAAAGACCTAATCTATGTTTGATAGGTGTACCTGAATGTGACGAAGAGAATGAATCCAAGCTGGAATATACTCTTCAGGATATTATCCAGGAAAACTTCCCCAACCTAGCAAGGCAAGCCAATATTCAAGTCGAGGAAATACAGAGAACACCAAAAAGATATTCCTTAAGAAGAGCAACCCCAAGTCACATAATTGTCAGATTCACCAGAGTTGAAATGAAGGAGAAAATGCTAAGGGCAGCCAGAGAGAAAGGTCAGGTTACCCACAAAGGGAAGCCCATCAGACTCACAGCAGATCTCTCAGCAGAAACCCTACAAGCCAGAAGAGAGTGGGGGCCAATATTCAACATCCTTAAAGAAAAGAACTTTCAACCCAGAATTTCATATCCAGCCAAACTAAGCTTCATAAGTGAAGGAAAAATAAAATCCTTTGCGAACAAGCAAGTACTCAGAGATTTTGTCACCACCAGGCCTGCTTTACAAGAGCTCCTGAAAGAGGCACTACACATAGAAAGGAACAACCAGTACCAGCCAGTCCAAAAACATACCAAATGGCAAAGAGCATAAACAAAATGAAGAATCTGCATCAACCAATGGGCAAAACAATCAGCTAACATCAAAATGGCAGTATCAAATTCATACATAACAATATTAACCCTAAATGTAAATGGACTAAATGCCCCAATCAAAAGACACAGACCGGCAAATTGGATAAAAAGCCAAAACTCATCAGTGTGCTGTATCCAGGAAACCCATTTCACATGCAAGGATACATAAAGGTTCAAAATAAAGGGATGGAGGGAGAGTTACAAAGCAAATGGAGAGAAAAAAAAAAAAAAAAAAAAGCAGGAGTTGCAATTCTCATCTCTGATAAAATAGACTTTAAAGCAACAAAGATCAAAAGAGACAAAGAAGGCCATTACATAATGGTAAAAGGATCGATGCAACGAGAAGAGCTGATGATCTTAAATATATACACACCCAACACAGGAGCACCAGATACATAAGGCGAGTTCTTAATGACTTATAAAGAGACTTAGACTCCCACACAGTAATAGTGGGAGACTTTAACACCCCATTGTCAAGATTAGACAGATCAACGAGACAGAAAATTAACAAGGATATCCAGGACATGAACTCAGACCTGGAACAAGCAAACCTAAGAGACATTTACAGAACTCTCCACCCCAAATCCACAGAATACACATTCTTCTCAGCACCACATCACACCTACTCTAAAATTGACCACATAATTGGAAGTAAATCACTCCTCTGTAAATGCAAAAGAACGGATATCATAACAGTCTCTCAGACCAGAGTGAAATCAAGTTAGAATTCAGAATTCAGAAACTAACTCAGAACTGCACAGCTTCATGGAAACTGAACAACTGGCTCTTGAATGTTGACTGGATAAACAATGAAATGAAGGCAGAAATAAAGATGTTCTTCGAAACCAACAAGAACGAAGACACAACATACTAGAATCTCTGGGACACATTTAAAGCAGTCTCTAGAGGAAAATACATAGCAATAAGTACCCACATGAGAAGAGTGGAGAGATCCAAAATTGGCACCCTATCACCAAAATTGAAAGAGCTTGAGGAGAAAGATCAAAAAAACTCAAAACCTAGCAGAAGACAAGAAATAACTAAGATCAGAGCAGAACTGAAGGAAATAGAGACACAAAAAACCCTTCAAAAAAGCAATAAATCCAGGAGCTGGTTTTTTTGAAAAGATCAACAAAATAGACTGACCACTAGCCAGATTAATAAAAAAGAAAAGAGAGACTAACCCAATAGATGCAATAAAAAATGATAAAGGGGAAATCACCACAGATTCCACAGAAATTCAAACCATCATCAGAGAATATTACAAACAACTCTATGCACATAAACTAGTAAACCTGGAAGAAATGGATAAATTCCTGGACACTTGCCTCCTCCCAAGCCTAAACCATGAAGAAGTTGAAACCCTGAATAGACAAATAACAAGATCTGAAGTTGAGGCAGCAATTAAGAGCCTACCAACAAAAAAAGCCCAGGTAGAGACGGGTTCACAGCCGAATTCTACCAGACACACAAAGAGGAGCTGGTACCATTCCTTCTGAAACTATTCCAAATAATCCAAAAAGAGGGAATCTTTCCCAAATCATTTTATGAGACCAACATCATCCTGATACCAAAACCCAGAAGAGACTCAACAAGAAAAGAAAACTTCAGGCCAATATCCATGATGAACATAGACGCAAAAATATTCAATAAAATACTGGCAAGCCAATTGCAACAGCACATCAAAAAGCTTATCCACCATGATCAAGTAGGATTCATCCCGGGGATGCAAGGCTGGTTCAACATACGCAAGTCTGTAAACATAATTCAATACATAAACAGAACCAAAGACAAAAACCACATGATTATCTCAATTGACGTAGAGAAGGCCT